TATTTTGAAATGAATAAAATATCAACTATTTTATTTTAATGTAGTTGATGAGCAGATGAAATGACGACTCAATTCGCATCAAATTAGTTAGGGAAACCATTGCTCTAAGTTTTGACCATTCCGGAATTAAGATAAGTAGCCCATCCAAGCAATAAAAACATATTACGTGCAATTCACACTTCGTAGATGTGAAACCTTCAAAAATTTTGGCTTCAAGATAATGAGACGAATGTAAAATTTCGGGAAAAGGATAATTGTAGGTTTTAGTAATGATCATAATGATACAAAGTTTGATAATTATTTTACATTTTATTCGTATATATTACATAGATTTATTCAGAAGAGCACATAGAGAACCACGAATATAAGAAACACGGTATGATGCTTCCTATCTCATTTTCTCCCACGTTAAATCTTATGAATTTATGTGTCTGTCTCTTTTTATTGTCACTTTTTCGTTTCATCGACTTTCGAATCACAACGATGCTAAAGAAGCTTTCACTTAATAAAAAAACAAGTGTCTCAAGCAGTTACACCTGATTTCTGCAGGATACCTATACAGTGCCAGCTAGTTAACAGTTTATTCCAATTTTCGATCTTTTTTCTAATTTTTTTTATTGCTTAGATGGGTGGACGAGCTCACTGCTACCGGGTGTTAAGTGGTTACTGGAGCCCATAGACATCTACAACGTAAATGCGCCACCCACCTTGAGATATAAGTTTTAAGGTCTCAATATAGTTACAACGGCTACCCCACCCTTCAAACCGAAACGCATTACTGCTTCACGGCAGAAATAGGCGGGGTCTCTATAAGCCGCGTAAGAGGAAAAATGAGGTTGTTTTCGCAATCAGTGGAACTGTGATCAATCGCGTCGACCCACATCGCGCTCGAGAAAGCCGGACTTATCTTGTCGATATTACGTTGATATCATGTTACATTACCGCTTCCCGTATATATACAGTGCCATGTAATTCCGTTGCTGACACTTACGACTAGCTTGCTCCAATTTACGGGTTATCAAAGCTTGTTTTATCCTTGTTTATATTCCAACCTAATTGCTCTCAGATTAATTTCTGTCTTATCGGTCGGTGTTTTTTTATAGCTTAGATGGGTGGACGAGCCCACAGCCCACCTAGTTACAGGAGCCCATAGACATCTAGAACGTAAATGCCGCCACTCACCTTGAGATATGAGTTCTAAGGTCTACTGCCTTCCATAGGCCATGATAATGATGAAGAGCCATTTTAAAAACATCATGGAACCAACCTCTCCGTTATGGGATAGTAAAATAAATAAATCTCAATAGACCGTAACGTTATTAGACAACTTACATTACTAGTAGTAATTTTAACTGATTACATTTTATAGCTTGACTTCCCAAGTCCGGCTCGATTTGTCTTTGATCCAATCGCTACCAAACCAGGATTAAGTAATCTGAAAATTTCCTGAAAATGACATTGACACCGATCCAACTCCATCGCAGTCTATGAGCATCACACTAACACACGACAAATCGTATTTATTTATTTATATATAATATAAAACTATATTAATATATCTATATATTAATACGTGAAGCAAAAACTTTGTATCCCTTTTTACAAAAATTCCGCGGACGGAGGAGTATGAAATTTTCCACACTTATAGAGAACTAGCTGACCCGGCAAACGTTGTGTTGCCTTAAATAAGATTTCTAGGGAAATTCTACTGTAGAAAAAAAACCTCATTTAACCACATAATACCTCATTATAAACAAAAAAAAATCCAAAAAATTAAAATATAAAATAAATGTTTGGGGTGGACAACCCTTTTCACTTAGGGGTATGAAAAATAGATAGTTTTTTTTTTTTTTGTCAGGAGGAAATCGCCGTACTCGAACCGATTAAAACCTGCTGTCGCTCATGAGACAGAACTCATGTAAAGGCAAGGGGAGGAGAGTGAAGCGTTTAGTGCGGAGCACATCTCTCCCATCACCCTCCCCCTCGGGACGCCGGGCCAGCGATCGTCGGCGCCACGACCACCAGCCCTCTCGGTCGGCAGGCTGTCCGAAGCCCGCCTAGATGGCGCCGGTTTGAATTGGTTATCCTACGAAATACCCCGCTGGGTCAGAACCAGCGTGGGTCGAGGAGTCGAACCGACTAAAACCTCCTGTCGCTCATGAGACAGAACTCATGAAAAGGCAAGGGGAGGAGAGTGAAGCGTTTAGTGCGGAGCACATCTCTCCCATCACCCTCCCCCTCGGGACGCCGGGCCAGCGATCGTCGGCGCCACGACCACCAGCCCTCTCGGTCGGCAGGCTGTCCGAAGCCCGCCTAGATGGCGCCGGTTTGAATTGGTTATCCTACGAAATACCCCGCTGGGTCAGAACCAGCGTGGGTCGAGGAGTCGAACCGACTAAAACCTCCTGTCGCTCATGAGACAGAACTCATGAAAAGGCAAGGGGAGGAGAGTGAAGCGTTTAGTGCGGAGCACATCTCTCCCATCACCCTCCCCCTCGGGACGCCGGGCCAGCGATCGTCGGCGCCACGACCACCAGCCCTCTCGGTCGGCAGGCTGTCCGAAGCCCGCCTAGATGGCGCCGGTTTGAATTGGTTATCCTACGAAATACCCCGCTGGGTCAGAACCAGCGTGGGTCGAGGATAGCCGGCCTTCCATCACCCGGATGCTCTTGCGTAAAACGCGTGCAGAGCCGCTTGCACAGATAGTAGCCGATTCTCAGACCTACTGAACATACTATTGATACACAAATAAAACCAAAAAAACATGGCTGAAAAATGTATAGTAAATGCTCTCAAATATATTAAGTGTATAATCTATGATGTATAGTGAGTAAGTAAGACAGGAGACCGGCTTCGTCCTCATCCCTACTACGTGATGTTTGCTGGATGAGTGGTGACACCTAGCGGGGATAGCTGATCGATTGATAGTTGATCAGTAGTCGACCGGCGAGGGCGGGAGATCAAATTCAATTTAAAAAAAGAACGAATTTAATTAAAAGAACTTGAAATTATAAACTCTGAATAAGAATTTATCGTACTACAATTATAATATTTGATTGCCATCTTGCAACCTTATTGCGGATCTGTGCATAGAATAAAAAAATATTAATCGGGATGGAAAAATAGGGGTTGAACGTATAAGAGTGAAAATTTAGAGTAATATGTTTTTATTTATTTTAAGTCATGGCAAAACAAAATAAAAAACTTGCCCAAAAAATTTAAGTTTATAATTAACAAATAAAAAATAGGGGTTGATCATAGAGGGATGAAAAATTGAGAGTAACATCAGATTTTTTATTTTAATTCATGATAAAATAAAAATAAAAATGAGAATCTTGCCCAAAAATTTTAAAGTTTTTAATTAGCAAATAAAAAATAAGGGTTGATCGTAGAAGGGTGAAAATTGAGGATTGTATGTATTTTTGTATGTTGTATCATAAAAAAATAGAAATTAAAAATTTTGTCTAAAAATTAAAAAAAAAAATTTAGGGGTGGACTACCCCTAACATTTAGGGGGATGAAAAATAGATGTTGGCCGATTCTCATAGATACCAGATAAGCACAAAAAATTTCATCAAAATCGGTCAAGCCGTTTCGGAGGAGTATGGCTACGAAAACTGTGACACGAGAATTTTATATATTAGATATAGAGAAGAAGTGCACAATGCTAATATTTTTTTAAAATAATGCATAAAAGGTACATTAAATCGATAAAGAAAACATTACACACACTACATACCATGTATTTGACGCAAACACGCATGCATACTATTTATTGTCAACCTTTTGTTCTTGACGTCTGTTGTCAAATTGAGAATAGATTAAATATTGCTTGTCTTTGTTAATATTTTTTATAGTGTAGTCTTGGCGAAATTTGTGATTATAGAAGTGTAAAATACAATCATAATAGTGTACAAACTTACAACTCCAATTAATTATAGTCGAATTTCAACTACTACGGGACCTCTAGTAAGTATATTTAAAAACATAGAAAGAATTTGTGAACAATCCAAATAAAAGGTTGACGATTTCATATTAAGATCGGAAAATAAATCAAAGTTTTTTGTAAAAAAAATAAAAGCAAAAAAAACTTCACATTAGGACGAAGAAAGGTAATTTTTCGTCCTTAACAAATACATCACTTGAAAGGCATCTAAACGAAAATCTATATTACACTTATTTCTTCGAAGCCGTCTACTAAAAACATTCGTGAATAAACAAACAGTTTTCCTCCCAAACAAAATAATTCGTCCGTATCGGCGCAACAAGAGAAGAATCCCCGACAACAATCCTTGATTTCGCAAATCCGCTGCGCGCGTGGATCGAATACACAAAAACGTATATTTTTCTTATAATTACGGCTAAAAACGTCGGGATATGATCGTACCCTTGTCAGGGCCGACTGTGCTAGACACAGCCTCCCTTATCCCGTGTCGGAGACTGGCCAATTATGCCCAGATCTTGAGATACGAGATTGAAAATTTTCAACAATGATAAATGTTATAATTTAATTTGGGGTTCATTTTGTATCGATATGTGTATAAGCTTGCTGTGTGTACGGCCCCTTTGTTATTTCTTGGTCATTGGAGAACATAACACCTAGATTCTTGATACTATTTCTAGCCCGATTCAGGTTCGACCGTTGATAATGCTGTTAGCAAATATGTATGTAAAACAATAAAGATTTATTGATTGATTTATTTATTTTTAATTTATTTATTTGTTTATTTATTTATTTTTAATTTATTTATTTGTTTATTTATTTTTTATTTGAGAATTAAACAGTATAAAAAATAAATGCATAATAATATATTAAAACATTGTTGAAACCAAAACCAAACAAGTATCCACCCTCAAAATTAAGTAGAAAGTGAATAGAAAAAAAAAGGGAAATTACAAATTTAGGTCCACCACAGGTAGGATAATAAAAATATATTTTCGAAATATATCTCTTTTCAGTAATCGAAAAACGTAATTTAATTAATAAATTCTGTTCACAGGTACCCACATGGAAATCCTAAACGAAAATTCGTGGAAAATCAATTTGTAAGTATGAAGTTGATTACGTTTGAACAAGAGTCAATCATATAAATAGGATTTCGTCCAAATTAATATACTGTCAAAACCTTTATACGTTTTTGTTACTAAATGTTGCTTTTTTTATTGCTTACATGTGCGGACGAGCTCACAGCCCACCTGGTGTTAAGCGGTTACTGGAGTCCATAGACATTTACTACGCAAATGCGCCACCCACCTTGAGATATAAGTTCTAAGGTCTCAGTATAGTTACAACGGCTGCCCCACCCTTTAAGCCGAAACACATTACTGCTTCACGGCAGAAATAGGCGGGGTGGTGGTACCTACCCGTGCGGACTCACAAGAGGTCCTACCACCAGTAACTCACAAGAGGTCCTACCACCACTAAACAAAATCCACTTGGTACCGTCATAGCCATCTGTGTTAGTCTTAAACAATTGTCACTATTTGATTTTGTAAGGAATAAACTAATCTGGCTACCCTACCAAGTTGCTAAAGCAAAAAATACTCCAATACGAGCAGAGTATTTAGATAAGGGACATGCAAATTTTTAATGAGCTCTTTTTTCTATTTCTCTAGATGAAGACTCTAGAAGGCTCACGGCCACCTAGTGTTAAGTGGTTATTGGAGGCTATGGAATTCGCAACGGGAATACTTTTTTTTTTATTGCTTACATGTGTGGACGAGCTCACAGCCCACCTGGTGTTAAGTGATTACTGGAGCCCATAGACATCTACAACGGAAATGCCACCACCTTGAGATATAAGTTCTAAGGTCTCAATATAGTTACAACGGCTGCCCCACCCATCAAACCGAAGCGCATTACTACTTCACGGCAGAAACAGGCAGGGCGGTGGTACCTACCCGTGCGGACTCACAAGAGGTCCTACCACCAGTAATTACGCAAATTATAATTTTAATACTGCTATCCATTGCCGTAAATCTATATCCTATGAAATGGAGGGGTGCTATGGCTGGAAAAATGATGGTTTTTATTCCACCTAATCGGACTTCAATACACCATATCAGTGAAACTGGCCATTGTGAATGATTATTCTTGATACATTTCAACTAACAGAAAATTATTTCCAAGTATTAAATTTATTTTATATACACTTGATTATCCGTGTGTGTATAACTTAGAGCGATTTCCGCACGCAATGTTTTTTTCATGTAATTTTTCATCCTTATCAACCGTCCCCGACATCCCGGGAAGAATTTGGCCATTGGTCGTTGGATGACAGTTTGTATTTGATCATAAGTTACATACCTCTACTGTGTGAATTTATATATAAATATATTTTTGCGATAATAACTCTTTCGGATTTTTAAGATTTATTTTCAATTAGAGCCACTGGTGGTGATAGCTACCCGTGCGGACTTACAAGTGGTTCTACTACTAGTAATTAATTACGCAAGTTATTATTTTATGGGTTTTTATTCTTATTACTCGACATTATTCTTTTACCGTGGACGTCAATTACGAACATTTGCTAAGCACGTATTTCATTAGAAAAATCAGTACGTTCCTGCGGGATTCGAACACCGTTGCATCGCTTGATATGAATGCACCGGACGTCTTATCTTTTAGGCCAGGACGATTTCAGAATGGCGGTAATAAACGGTCGTAAAGTTAAAGAGCATACTCCAGTTCAGCGTCGCAACTGACAGCCGAAATTGTTTGGTGGTTATTTTTTCGATGACGTTTTACAGATAATTTTATTTATTTATTACACTTCATGTAAAATTTACATTGGCGGACTTAATGCCTAAGGCATTCTCTACAAGCATACCAAAGGTAGTGCAGAGTAAATAGTGGTAGGTGCAATGAAATTTATATTAAGCTACGACTAGATACACAAAACAGTATATATGTATATGTACATATTATTATATACACAATCACATATACATACATACAGACATACACACAATATACACACACGCATACACACACATAATAACCAATACCAATGCTCTTTTTTATTAAATCATGATGTTCGGAGCTATCATTGTGTACAATGCCTTCAGTCAATCAGATGGCATACATCTCCCCGAATATCGTCAATTACTTTCTGTTAACGATTCAACAAATTAAAGAGCGGACGGTTAGCGTGGTATGGACATGTGATGCGTAGAGAGAAGATGCATGTGACTAGGAAATGTATGGAAATGGTAGTGCAAGGTAGAGGGCGAAGAGGTCGACCGAAGAAGACATGGATGGAGTGTGTGACGAAATGAGAGAGAGAGGAGTGAGTGTTGAGATGACGGTTGATAGAAAAGAGAATGGAAGAGAAAAATTAGCTGTGCCGACCCCATCTAGTGGGATAAGGTGGAGAAAGAAGAAGAAGAACGATTACTCTAGCCAAGGTGGGATCTAATACTAAATGTCACTTAAATATATGAATACAAAAAGATTTGTATTAATAATCAAACTAAAAATAATTTTTAATTCAAAACAATAGCGTTGCTGTCTTATTTTTAGGAAAAAGCAAAAATGTATCTTAAGTAGAATTACTCGTCGTATATCGTATACATAATGTATGTGCGGTTGCCACTATAAACACAGTTCGTGTGATACTCTCGCGAAGGGACCCCTACCATTGGTCTGATTGAAGAAAGGAATTTTGAAGTTGTCGTGGCCTAAGCGACAAGACGTCCGGTGGATTCCTGTTGAGCCATGCTCCGATGCTCGAATCTCAGGCGGGTACCAATTTTTCTAATGAAATACGTACTCAACAAATGTTCGCGATTGACTTCCACGGTGAAGGAATAACATCGTGTAATAAAAATAAAAAACCCGCAAAATTATAATTTGCGTAATTACTGCTGGTAGGACCTCTTGTGAGTCCGCGCGGGTGGGTACCACCACCTTGCCTATTTCTGCCGTGAAGCAGTAATGCGTTTCGGTTTGAAGGGTTGGGCAGCCGTTGTAACTATACTGAGACCTTAGAACTTATATCTCAAGGTGGGTGGCGCATTTACGTTGTAGATGTTTATGGGCTCCAGTATCCACTTAACACCAGGTGGGCTGTGAGCTCGTCCACCTATCTAAGCAATAAAAAAAGAAAAAGAAAACCGCGATTAGGAAAAGCTCGTATATTCTCCGATCTCAGTCAATGACTGTGGTGTTTTTATGCAGCTTATATAATTATACTTTTTTACTATTTTTGTTATTAGAGCTCATGCATTAATTACTCGGTCGACAAAAATCAGGTCTTCAAAATTTATCTTGCAGATTTCGCTGCGGCTTGCACTAATTATCCAAACTATCGAAACATATTGATTCGTTGGAAGAAGCCCCACCAACCATTTTACATTGGTAGTACACACAGATCCATAATTTGGCAATAATTAACGTAATTTGTTATAATTTGAATAGAGTACGGCTCGGTCACCGTCCTCAACCGACAAGAAAACTAAGTAACTCATAGACACAGGCCACTGAGTTTTGTAGCCGGATCTTCTCAGTGGGTCGCGATCTCGATCCGCTGGAAGATTCACCGAAGCACTGCTCTTGCTAGAGCTAGTATTAGCAAATTCTCTCATGTTGAGTCCATATTGAGCTCACCTACCCGTCTGAGAGTAGCCGAAATAGGCTCTTAGGCTAACAGTGAAAAGATAGGAAAAAAAAGAGTGGAAAGTAAACAAATTTAATAGATTTCTTCGTATTTCTTTATTTATTGCGCTAAATTTATCTGTAACTCACGACCCAGTAGGTTTTGTTTGATTAAAGTCCATAGATTAAACAATCGAAGTCCAAAATCATAAATATTAAGTTAAACATCAAAATTATTACAATGCACAAGCAACAAAAATTTACTTCGAAGCTCTCCTTTTCTCGGCTAATTTTACTATTTAATACGGTCACCATTTATACAGCTAATAAATATTCTTTTCGTTTTTCCTTATATTCTTTTTTCAATTGATAAGTACATTGCAGATTATTTCTTAGATCATATTTTCTGCCCGATGGTTATCTGGAAGACGTCGCTTGTAGCGTTCTTAATGTTTTTCATCTCTGTTTATTTTAAGCTAGCTTTTGCCAGCGACTTCACAAATAATGCTTTATTTTAGAACAAATTTGGTTAGCATAAAAATCGTTATAGTGAGCCAGCCTTAACATATAGACATATGCTGTCTTTTTCGCGGACTTTTTTTAGATATTTTAAAGGGGAACAATTCTGTCGTACATTATTTTAGCGAAACTTTAACCGTTTCTCAAAATGGAAAAAAAAAACCGATTTTGAAACATTCTTTTTGGTGCTCCGCTTGTGTTGGTCGTAGCGTGATGTTGTATAGCCTTCCTCAATAAATGGGCTATCTAACACTGAAAAAAAACGGACCAATAGTCTCTGAGATTAGCGCGTTCAAACAAACCAAACTCTTCAGCTTTATAATATTAGTATAGATTCGTGTATCATTAATGAACGACTCACTAGAAACGCGAACTGATAGTAAGGGACAACAAGCACTCAGCATTATTGCGTACATGTATGCAGATGTGTCAAGATGTTGATGTTTACTTTGTACATTCTCGCTTACACTCGAAGCCAGGACTAGACGTTACAAATGAGACAATACTTAAACATCCCCTTTACTTGTTTATTTAATATAAAGACACGGTCGATGTGTGAGGTGCGATGAATTATTAACAAAATACTGGTTTCGTGACTCCGCACGGGTAGGTACCACAACCTGGCCTATTTCAGCCGTTGTACTGTACTGAGATCTTAGAAGTCTTATCTCAAGATGGGTGGCGGCATTTACGTTGTAGATGTCTATGGACTCCGGTAACCACTTAACACTAGGTGGGCTATGAGCTCGTCCATCCGTATAAGTAATAATAATTAAAAAAAGGGGCTACGTTACAAAACCTTGACTTTTGTTAAGGAAATCATTTGATGTTCAATCTCGGCGTGCCGTGTTCGAGGCGTGGTCTCGCCGCCTAGTGGACCCCGCCTATGGCCGACGGACCGTCGAAGCGATCCGTCCGGTCCTCTCGGACTGAGTGAATCGTGACCAAGGCGTCTCACCTTCCAAGCGACGCAGCTGCTCACGGGACACGGCTGCTTCGGTCGTTACCTGCACCTCGTCGCCCGGAGGGAGCCGACGCCGAAGTGCCACCACTGCAGCAGCTGCAACGAGGACACGGCGGAGCACACGCTCGCGTACTGCCCAGCTTTGGCGGAGCAGCGCCGCGTCCTAGTTGCAAAAATAGGACCGGTTATCGCTTCCGACCGTCGTGACTACGATGCTCGGCAGGGACGAGTCCTGGCAGGCGATGCTCGACTTCTGCGAGTCCACCATCTCGCAGAAGGAGACGGCAGAACGGGAGAGGGAGAGCTCATCTTCCCTCTCGGCGCCGTGTCGCCGCCGCCGAGCCGGGGATCGGAGGAGGGCGTTTGTCCAGCTCCGGCTCCTATGAGGAGACACTCTCCTCCCGATAATGGTCACGGGGCGACCTAAGGGGATTGAGGCTGCGCCGCACACTACCGTCACTCTAGCGCGCTGGAACTAGGAGGACGGGACGGCGCGTCAGCGGCTGCGGACTGCGATGCGGTCCGCATTTTCGTCGTCGCTGTCGTCGCCGAACATACTGTGGAAGAGCAACCCGGTCGGCGGTGTATCGCGTTCCAACCTGGCAGGCTGGTTCTGGCCCAGCAGGGTATCCCGGAACACCAGCGCCCGGGCGGCCTGGTAGGGCCGCCGTACTGTGGAGACCGTACCGGGCGTCCTCGGGGTGGCGCCGCGTGTCGGGTTGTAGTGTTGACCGCAGGAACCCCCCTACTCTGACAGGATCAATTGCATGCAGACTCAGCTTACGCCTTAACACAAGCAACTACATACAATACGACCATTAATACCGGTCATAATACTTTCTGTTCGATAAATATTAAACGCTTTCAAAAAAACAAATTAACAATTCACTCCTAGATTGATATAATAATAAAAAAATGTAGCATACAATGTTGAACCAGCTTTCATAGTGTGAAATACAGAAAGCTCAATACTTAGTGCATGCATTAAAAGCTCTACGCTAACAAAGACTAATGACTAAGTTTAGTACACCGCTGCGTTTGGTTGAAAATAATTTAATACCAAAATTTGCTTGTGTTTTGAATACACTAGAGCCAATTACTTTGGTAAATTTCGAATTTACCGTTGAGATAACTTATGACTAGGCGTTGGTCCTAATCATCATATAATCCGTTGGGTCGCGTTATCTTAAGGGGGCGCGGGACGGGCCTTTTTTTTTATTGCTTATATGGGTAGACGAGCTTACAGCCCACCTGTTGTTAAGTGGTTACTGGCTCCAGTAAACACCTAACAACAGGTGGGCTGTGGGCTCATCCACACATCTAAGCAATAAAAAAAAAACGTAGCTGGTTCACAAATGATAATCCCCTCCACGATGTTTTTCGAGCGCTATGACATGTCCTTCTTCAAACGAGGCTTGCAGAGAGTACTTAATGGTAGGCAGCGGCTTGGCTCTGCCCCTGGCATTGCTGACGTCCATGAGCGACGGTGATCACTTACCATCAGGTGGGCCGTATGCTCGTCTGCCTACGAAGGCAACAAACAAATAATAAAGACATCGACGATGAAGGAATAATATCGTGCAATGAAAATCAAACCAGCATAAACTATAATTTTCGTAATTACTAATGGAAGGTGAAATAAATTTCAAGTATTGTTACATTTCATGGAAGGATCAATGGTTTTTAATTTTGGTGAGTTTCCGCATGAAATGTGGGAAGTTTCATCGTAGTTACAAACTGTAAGCTGTGTAGTATAAAAATCGATTAGAAATAAGGTGGATCGATTTATCTGCTCCCAACAATCAATACAGAATTCTCGCGAAAGTCTAAATCTGTTTTCTCAAGATTCATAAAGTATTGCTTTCATAATAATATTTTTTTTTATATTTCAGATCTGGAGACCAAGACTACAGTTTTGGTAAGTATTTAAAAAAGTATCGAAATAATTTTGAAATTAAATAATTAAAAAAGCATTTCCCATCAAACATCATGAACATAAGCCCGGTTGCTATTATCGTAATCGTGAACCTTTGTTAATGAATGGTATTAGCAACTAATATACATAATTGAAATTACTATTTAATATTTTTATTTCGTCAGTCGACATGTGAATAACACCCTAACTCGTTTCTATATATATACAGGCGGTAGGACCTCTTGTGAGTCCGCACGGGTAGTTACCACTATCTATTTCAGCGGCCAAGTAATGCGTTTCGGTTCGAAGGGTGAGGCAGCTGTCGTACTGTCAAAACTAATACATTAATAAATAAATAAATAAATAATAATAAATAAATATTTACTAACAATCACGCCACGTTAACTGGTCCCGTGATAAGTTCGTAAAGAACTTGTGTTACAGGTACCAGATAACGGAAATAAATGTAAGATTTTTATTATACACATACACATATTTGATATACATCCATAACCCTGGAAAAGACATTAATAAAAATATATAAAAAATATATATTTATCATACAAATATCTTCCCTTGGCGGGATTCGAACCCGCGACCCCCTTGTGTAGTGACCATGTCACTTACCACTACACCAGACGGCCGTTTACATTTACATTAGAACTCATATCTAAAGTTTGGTGGCGGCATTTACGTTGTGGATGTCTATTTCCCGTAACAACTTAACATCAGGTGAGCCGTGAGCTAGTCCATCCATCTAAGCAATTAAATGTGGACTAATAGATATAGACGGTCCTATCATTCTTCTAACCCCACAATAAAACAAAATAAGTGAAAAAAAACAATATTAAAAAACCTCTACCATTTTATGAGCTTGTCAAAATTTTCCTATTACTAAATTACTTAAAACTTTAGCGCTAGGTTGAGGAGCTGTATCGAATGTGATTCTAATTACTTGCTATCAAAGAACGATTGACGGAGCTTTAAAAGTTTACCGTTCTGAAAGTAGAATGAGGGTTGATGCTTCCCGCTTCCGTAGGTTGAACCCGTGGTAACCTATGAATGACCCCTGGGTGGTGCCAAACGGGAGCCAAAAACAGAACCTGTGGTAGGACCTAGTCCGACTGGCTGGCGACCACCCTCCAACTAGAGCCCGCCGCCAAATAGCCTAGCTGTGTTCCGGCGTATGGGTTGAAGAGCCAGCTCTATCCCTTCCCTTTCCTCTTCCTTGTTAGGGGTGAATCTTGATGATACCTGGAACATGCCAAACTGAATCGAGAATGAATGAGAATGAACGAGAATCAATTCTCGATCCAATAAGAAGCACTTACTACTGCACCACGAACTCTGCAATATAATAATGGAGTATAGCCCAGAAACAATAGGGTATCTCGAAGATACCTTAGAACTTATGTCTCAAGGTGGGTGGCGCATTTACGTTGTATATGTCCATGGGCTCCAGTAACCACTTAACGCCAGGTGGGCTGTGTGCTCGTCCAACCAACTAAGCAATAAAAAAAAAAAAAAAAATTAAAAAAAATGTGCATCCACATTGTTAAAATACACCACAGCCAGCACATATTATGTACCTACTATACACAAGTTATCTAGAATATTACATAGCATTGATGCGAACTCAAAAACACGTTCGATGCTTTTACCAAATTACAGCATCGATTTGCGTGCAATTTATTTATGTGCACTCAAATTATTCACATCCGAATTGGCCGTATCAAAGCATTCATTTGCGATTGAATCGCCCGGCCGAGTCCAACGGACGTGACAAGAATGAAGCTATAATCCTTACAATGTATTTGCATGCGTCTTGTTTTAAGATATTTTTTTTATTGCTCCTGTAGGTAGACGATCGTCCCACCCGATGTTAAGTGATTACTGGAGCCCATAAACATCTACAACGTAAGTGCCGCCACCTACCTCGAGATATGAATTCTAAGGTCTCAGTATAGTTACGACTGCTTCACGGCAGAAATAGGCGCGGTGGTGGTACCTACCCGTGCGGACTTACAAAAGCTCCTACCACCAGTAATATAGGCACTATATCCAGCCGTGGACGTATGTACGTTGATGACGATTTACCACTGATATCACCTTCAATTACTAAGATGAACCGAAATAAATCTGAAACCAAAACAAATTTTCAACTCTCATTTGAACTTTAATGAAAATGATTAAGTTAAATACCGTTTGATTCGTTGTCTCTCGATCCAGGGGGTCGTCACACAACGATCTCACGTACCGCTAAGCCAGAGGTATTAAACTTTGGCTATTATTAGCGCCAGAGGTGTCCGAACTTCGCTCTTTAATAACGTCAAGATTTATTGGCCTTAGCGATTAGAACGTATTATTTATATTCTAAAAATCTTAATAACTAAAAACTCTAGGGATGAGTCGGCTCGGAAACTTTTTTTTTTATTGCCCTTTTAGGCAGACGAGCATACGGCCCACCTAATGGTGAGTGGTTACCGTCGCCCATGGACTTCAGCAATGCCAGGGGCAGAGCCAAGCCGCTGCCTACCGCTTAATACTCTCCACAAGCCTCGTTTGAAGAAGGACATGTCATAGCGCTCGGGAAACACCGTGGAGGGGAGCTCATTCCATAGTTTAAACTTCATCAAAATTTTCTTTCAGGTGATTTAGGCACGTAACTTTTATTCTTTTTTTTTATTAGCAGTGAGTTATGTTCTTGGATGAATTGAATAGCTGATACAATAACAATGCAATTGAGTTTTCGTTTCGACTTGCGTAAGAGTATTCATTTTGTGGTCAGTTTTTTTTTCTACGCATCTATTTAGTGTTAATTAACACTTTGGGAATGTCCGAAGGAATATTCCAACTCTATAATTCTAATTATAATTTTCCATATAAGTTTTTGATCAAAACATTCCCGACTTTGTTAATTATATAAACAATGCAAATATGAATCAAAAAGACAGAAGCTTTCAATTTGATAAATGTATTTACGAAAAATACGTCGCGGGCGAGCCAGCAAAAAGCTCCACCGCGTATTCATATACGAACTTTTTACACTAAAAACAGTCAGCGAAACTTTTCTAGAGCTTTTTCAAACTGCGTGTGAATATAACGTGTGTGCACTGTCTGTATGTTTTAGTATATTTTATGAATTCAGCAAACGTAAAGTTAAAGTTTCGAAAACAAACGATAAAGCCTTTGTCGGAGCACAGGTAGCGCCCACTCTATGTAGAGCTGATTGCTACATAGGCGCTATAAGATAACGCTATTTTGTTTATTTTTTTGCTCATGAACACAATGATACAAGTGTTAACCTTGAAAAACATAATGTTTGAAGGTAGATAATTTAGTAAAATATAATTAGATGGTTGGTAGAGTCGTTGTTATGCAACAGAATAATAATCTCTACCCTGTCTTAGGGTGGGTGGGGTCATTTATACTTCGATGTAAGTTTCGTTAAGTTTTAAAATAATTCCTTACACACCCTAGTGTATTGTCTAAAGGAATATTAAAAAAAAAGTTGGTTTTTCAAAGGAGAGTAATATTTCATCATACATTCGTAATAATAAAAAATTTACAAAACCTTAATCGCGCTTGTAATAATTTCAAGATAACTTACTAGCAAAGCCTTTTAATTAAAAGGCCATCCAATTAGACTCAATCTATGCGATTATGTCCTGTTTTACATAGAATAAGATCCACTAACGTAAACTTTCAGAGCTTAAAGCTCCGCTGGAAAACTTCTGAGTTACTTTCTAAACTCAATCTTGAACACTGCTTTACAGACAGTGTCACGGGTCAATTTGAAACAAACTTTAATAGAGTTACAGTATTTATGTATGTCGCAAGAACCCATTTCATTAGATTCTAGGTAATGTCTAAAACTTAGATATAGTAATTATATTGGTCGGTGCTTGATAATTACACGCACTTAAATACAAAGCTGCTTTCTCTCATATTATAATATTTGAACACTATACTCTAAAATATTAATTTTATGTAATAAATAAATATTTCTCTTTGTCTTATCTTGTTGTAACTTTATCACATAGGTGGGAACAGCACACCGAATTTTTCAATTCCGTTCTCCTCTATCAACCGTCATCTCAACACTCACTCCTCTTTCTCTCATATCGTCATTCACACACTCCCTCCATGTTTTCTTCGATCGACCTCTTCCCCTTTTACTTTGCACTACCATTTCCATACATCTCCTAGTCACATGCATCATAATAAATAAATGTTACGAAAATAGACAATTTACTATCGGTTCAATAAAAATCGGGATTATCTATTAAAGGCAACAAGGCGTTACTGGTTGTAGGACGCCTTGTGAGCCCACACGGGTAGGTACCACCATCTTGCGTATTCCTGCCGTGAAGCAGTAATACGTTTTTGTTTGAAGGGTAGAGCAGCCATTATAATATTAAAACTGATACCTTAGAACTCATGTTTCGAAATGAGTAGTGGAATTTACGTTGTTAATATCTATGGGTTGCACTAACTATTTAACGACTTAGGTCTTGAGCACGTACATCTATCTAAGCAATAAAAAAAAGAGTAAAACCAACAATTTTTTTTTGTTTACTTTTCTATTCTTCGTTTTCTCCAGTTTATCCCACTAGGTGGGGTCGACACAGCAAATTTTTCTTTTCCATTCTCTTCTATCAGCCGTCATCTTAACACTCACTCCTCTTTCTCTCATATCGTCATTCACACACTCCATCCATGTCTTCTTTGGTCGACCTCTTCCCCCTCTACCTTGTACTACAATTTCCATACATCTCCTAGTCACATGCATCTCCTCTCTACGCCTCACATGTCCATACCACGCTAACCGTCCGCTCTTTAATTTGTTGATTACCGGGGCTACTTTCACACTTTCTCTACCTTTATAAATTAGTTTACTTTGATAACTTAAATTCAAATGCGCATAGATTTTATGGAACTTGAACCATTTATGCGGCTGACTGAATATGACTATCACCACCAATATAAGTGATTAAACGGTT